CCCGGTCTAGGTAGGGTTAAAAGAACCGGCATTTCGGACTTGTCAAAAAGGAAATTAAAATAATGCTGACAGCGGGATTCAAACGGCGAACTTAGCTTCCCAAAACATGCCAGACAAAGCACCGAAGTGCAAAAGTACAAATGAGTAAAATGTATCTCATTGACATTCCTGAGTAAGAACAATAAAAAAAATCAAAACTAGAATTCCGAGATCTAATACCTCCATGAAATATGATCTTGATAAGTAAATGTTAATTTCTTCTTTAATTGTCCAAATGACCGCATTAACATGATATATGCATCGTGATGTATGTTAACTTTTGATTAACTTACAGATGTCCCAAGTATGACATTCTCATCATTCACCATTTCGAAATCATAGAATTTTCACATTAATTATGCAAATTAGGTCATCATTTGCATAATTAGTATCTGTTGAAGTTCCGCCTGCCATAGGTTACATAGTATAATGTAAAACAATGTAATTATAGAATTTCCTCATTAATTATGCAAATAAAGTCCTCATTTGCATAATTTGCATTTAATTATGTACATCGCTCTCTCAGCTACTTACACACCAAAAATAATGAAAATATGTTGTTCCTGTCTGGACTTATTGGCTTTTAAACATTACGCCAGAAAGTGCCCTGCAGTTCCAGAACAAGCCGCTAGGGGGCCCAAACTCATGTGACTTCTTCCCAAGCACGAGAGCTACCTTCCATCAAAATTTCATGACCCTAGCATGTCCAGATCGCGAGATATCAAAACCGGAAGTTGCGCTGCAGTACCAAGGGAAGCCACTAGGGGGACCAAAATCTCATCATTTCCAGTTTTCGTCACACCCTACCAACACACCAAGTATGAAACCAATCCATCCAGGCGTTCTTGAGTTATCTTGTTGACCAACAGACAGACGGACGGACGGACGGACGGACGGACAGATAAACGCAACTGAAAATATAACCTCCATGACACATTTTATGGAGGTAATAACGGATGTAAAAAAGAAAACTAAAACGGAACGCCAACATCGGGACTCGAACCCTCGATGTCCGGGGCTTAGACGAGCATCGCTGCCGATCGAATGTTCCTACGTACGAACTAGCTGGTGCTGAGGCCGGGCAATAAATAAACATATAAGGATTATATTCATGTTATTCCTTATTGCTCACGACCCTTCATTTTTTCATGGCACACCTCGAACTGTGGCCGTGTCGATAAACCTTCTTGCGTTTCCTGATTTACATCATTCATGCAGTTGCAAAAAATCGATATTTTTCTTCCGTGTATTAGGCGTTGATACAGATTTTTGCGGTATTGCTTAAACGCACTTGACTACTATGTATGCATATGAGAATATGAATGTGAATTAAAGATACCCAATTCCATGTGCTTTCTTCATGAATGACCACAGTCAAGCAAGGCATGACATGGCATGCGCATGGCAATCACAAACAGCCAAAACATGGCATGGCATGGCCTATAAATGGTTTGTGAATTGGTTCTATGTACCATAGCTGATGGGGTCCAACCGAGGCTAACATACGTCTACGTGCATTGTGCTTACCTGGTTGGGATGACATAGTTGTCTCACCAGGTAGAGCGGTTTATTCATCGTTTTGTGCGCCCCTCTTTAAGGGTTACTATTTTTGTTTGGTCCGAAATACCACCAATAACAGTTTAATGTAACAACTACCATTCCAAGATACCAAAGTGCCTGCCTGCCTGCCTACCTACATTGTACCTACGTGCATTTAAGCCATTTCTATTACCGGCCTTAGGCCGGCAAAAAGTCTTCTGTATTATTAAAGCCGGTATAACCGCCCTTCGGCCTAACACACCAGCTTCGCAGGCACGCGGTAGCGGCACTCAACAGTTTCGGCTATGTTTTCATGACAAAATCACCCTCAAGATGAAATTAGATAGCCAAGAAAAACTAGCTAGAGTCACCTTTGCACTCAGAGTGACATTTCTGTTGACAAACCCCGTTGACCATCTCCGTCCCCTCTCGGCAGATGATGAAGTCCTTTGCCGGCCTGTCCAGTAGTGACAGCCCCATGACCTTGACAGGAGACTCTCCACTGCCGAAGGAATAGTAGCGAAGGGACGCCAACTCGTTGAATGTGAAACTCAACCAGACGTGTGGACGCTCCTATCATCATTTTGAGTGAAAAAATGTTACTGGTTTTTCTTAAAGAAGGAGCATCTTTGTAAATGGACGAATGCCTAAGCTACTGATCTATATACACGCACCTCATTGTCAGGCGTCTTGCCGTATTGAACGACAGTTGTTTTCTCGTCCACATCTTCAGTCACACAAACAAAGTACGACTGGTACAGGGTTGCCGAACCCAGACCACCGGCGTTGTCATTTAGGTGGGTTGTTTGTAGCCGAAGTGCCTACAGGTGTGTTTTGAACTAACTGTTAGTCCTATTACACATTGCAGCCCGCAGCGCTATCTCTATAAATACTAGTTTATACTCTTAAGTGAATTAATCGGAAATTACATTCCTGATGAAAGTTGAGGAATCTTGTCTACACCAGGTACAACTCTGTCCATAGTCCTTGGAATAGCTTCATGCTGACATCTTAAAAGCACTGACATCTCCGTTACTTTCTGTCCCATACAATTGTGAAAGACATGCCTAATAACCTATACTAATGCGCATATCTCAGATTTTGGTACATTTAGAAAAAAATCCATGGCCTTTGAACAAAAAAAAAAACATGTTAGTGAATGTTGCTCAAGAAGAGAATCAATAGAAAGGCAAAGTGCTATTCTAATCTTGATTTGCGTAAAACACAGGATATTGTGTGTCACAGGAAATCTTGCCGGTTTAGGGTACAAGTCACAACAGTAAGCGTGCTGACCTTATATAATGCAACTCCCTCAGGTGAGATCTGTACATATATCCAGGTCTCATGATTTTTCGGAATGCTGGCAAACACAACAAAGATGTCGCCGTCTGATGCTGCAGTGAAGTGGATACACTTTCCTTCATCGGTCGGATCGAAGCGATGTGCGTTTGACCACTGGATTCTACACGGAACGTCTCCAACTGTGTCACTGCAGAACAGCAAGCAACAAATTTATACATAATACGCCCCCCCATCTTATTATGTCATTTAGGGAATACCAAAATATGATTCATGTGAATATATTATGATTGCTTGACACATAGTTTACTCACCTTTTCTGGCTCAAGTGGTTGAGTAGTTTTTTGTACTCAGCTCTTGCTACGTCATGACCGTTTACCCAGTCTGGTAAGTCTTCAAGAAGCGCAGCCGAGGCCTTAAAGTCGTCATCCGTCACCGTGAAGACACCTGTTCCCTCATCATACGTCATGACAAGACCCTGGACGCTGACCTGCGGAATCGTCATATAACAGATCATCAGATGTAAAATTGCTTTTGTAAAGTTTTCGAAACAAGTACTAGGATTGTAAAGAAAAATGTTATGTTGAAGAAAATATATGATGTTTCAAATTGTTTACCTTTTTCCATTGGACGTCGTTGCTTCCTCCGTTTTTGTAGCCATCATAGAGATGTGGCACAAACCCTTTTCTTGTAGAGAACCACTTGTGACGATAGAACTTAAGTGTCAGCACGTCTTGTGCCTGAAGAATCCCTGGGATGTCGTACGGCATGTCAAAGACAACTGTGAACTCCTTTCCTCCGGTCATGTCTTCCCATGTGGGCACGCCGGTGTTGTCTTCCTGAAGGAACGCCAACATGGCGGTCTCACAGCCTGCCTCTCCAGCGGGCAGGAGGAAGTCTGAACTCAGGATACGACCCTACAGGTAAAACATGCTTAATGAGTAATGTCTATGTTCTGATATTTCAGATTACCATCATCAATGGACTGGAACTTCAAGGCGAATGAAGCTCTAATATATATATATAATATCCTTGACTGCTTCGATACAACAGGTATTGGAACAGGTACATGTACAATAAAACACTTGATGAGATGGAATTAAGTTTATTTACAAAACGGCATTGTTACTGTAACAAATATTCTTCTTACCTCTTCTAAGTACACTGTAACAGCACGTTGAAGTGCCAGCCTCTTCTTGGTCATGCTGTCCTCAAGGGCTTTACGGTTTTCAAAATTACAATAACGGATCTCAGAGACCGTTACCGCCTCAGTCCAATTCTTACTTCCTTTGTCACCAACTCCTTGTTTTGTTGTCTTTTGCGTGTAATATTTTCGACCAGTTCCAACTTCTGTCTTTAGGTTCCTAAAATTATAATAATTAGATTATTCCGTATTCTACTATGGTCAACTTTATATTGTTAACCGCGTATATTACAGATCAAGTCAAATATTTAATTACCCGTTGCTCTAAGAACATTACCTGTGTGCATGCACTATTTACTTATTATATATATATATATATATATATATATATATATATATAATTAGACACCTAGTATTAGAATCTTGTCTAAAGTGATAACCTGTCTATTTTGACTACTTTATTCAATTACCATTTACTATTATGAAGGTTTAAGTGAAAAAGGCTATTTACATGATTGTATAGTCTTACCTCCTACCAAAGCAACCATAGTCCACCTCTCCTGCAGGGAAGAGCGAGACGAAGGGGATGTTCAGTAGATCTGAGACCAGCCTCAACACGAAGGAGAAGGGTTTGGGGTAATCGTTAATGGACTCTAACCAGTCCTTCAGCTCTGTTGTTAGGGCTGTCGTGTACATCTCCGTGATGGCAGCGGCGATCTTCTGGTCTCCGCCTTGAACCACCAGAACCTCGTTACTGTACTCCTGGGATAATCTGGATGGTAGTGATAACATATTGAGCTCTGATTTTGTTTAGTGGAATTATAATGTAAATATAACCACATATCGGCTCTAAAATTAAAACATTCCCTTTCAGTAATGCATAGGTGTTTTCTGTGAATAAAGAAGAGCTTTTAAAATGAATATGCACAAGTAAATGCAACTGACATTAAAAAAGAAGCAAGGTCATTCGGTACAATGATAATTATACATTTGCAAATCACACAGCAGCACGTATTTGTAATTGATAATAAACAAGTTGTATACATGCATATATATATAATTCTTACATTAACAGACTTACTCTTGCTTCTCTTCTTGTCTGTTGGCCTGTGTTTCAGAACCGGAAGCTGCTTGTCCAGACGATTGTTGTGATTCGGTCTTCGACTCGTGCTCGTGCCACCAGCTACTGGACTTGGTCTGTGACGCCTGCGCTGAAAAGGTACTGAGAGTCATCTTCCAGTCAGCCTCGGCTTTAGTGGCGAATTCAGACATCGACAGGTCCTTTGTAGCTTGTTTTGTTTTGATGATCTTCAGCTGGCCTCCGAATTTGGCTGACTTGATGTAGTGTGTTCCCCAGCGGAGGTAGAAGTTTTCTGAAATGGAAGTGATACAACCTTGCTGTATATAACAGCTTACAATAAACCTGTATTAAAAATTACCATTTGTAGCGGATGCATCACCACTAAAGTGATTTTAACTAATTATTAATACGTCATTTTTACAAATATTATTCTAATGGTGGCTGAGAGTAATGTATCTGCCTTACTTAAAGAATCAAATGGATTTGATATACCTAAACAGAATATTATTTCTACTTACGGAATATTATTTCTGCTCCGACAGAGAAGTAGGACTCAGGCAGGGAGATAAAATCTCGTAAGAAGCCCACGTTTAACTGTTCAGGCGTCACGTCATCCATAAAGATCTCATACCTAGGGATCAAGAAACACAGGATAGTAGCAGGCCATTCAATTTCCAAAGCAAAATAGTCCGAATATCTTTCATCTTTGGCTTTTTAGTGCTAATACCATTTCATACAGAAAACAAATATTTCGTCATGTAATACCACTGTATATTTGACATGTAAAAGAAGCAGCATCATTTGTCACCTGAATATGTTTATCTCCAGCATGGCCATGAATGTTTGTGTCTGCTTCTCACTAAGCTGACCGCTGGCAGAAGAGCTGGCACTGATGCTTGATGATTGGCTGGATGTGCCCCTCTGACTAGATCCTCCTCCTCCTGCTGACCAAAGAAGTCCAAACGCTCCACCCACTGTTCCGTGTCCAGACGCCTTGTTGATCTCTTCCTGGAACATCGCCTTGGCAGAAGTGACGGCCGATTTCTCCGCAAGGTATTGTCTGTATTCTTCCGTTGAGCTGAAGGTGTAGGATTCTACATCTGTGTCGTATATACCTTGCACGGTCATAGAGTCAGGGACTTCGTTTTTACCGTATCTGTTCAAAGAGAAAAGAAGTTCCTATGTATTCGGTTCGTTAAAGGGAAATCTTGAAATTGGCCGAATTTTCTAATGAAAGCAAAATTAGTTTAGATGTATGATAACATTCCTAATGATGACATTCCTTCGACTAAGGGTTTGGTATTTATATTTTATTTTCTGTATTCTGCAAAAGGGCACACACACACACACACATACACTTTACATTTGATTTCAGAATTTAATCTGTAGTTGTGCCTGGATGATTATTACTTTCGCCAAGAAGGTTATGATTTCAGTAACGTTTGCCCGTCTGTCCGTTTGTCTGTTTATCTGTCTGTGAACAGATGAACAGACTTTGTGATGGACATCCAAGAACAGTATAACTCAAGAAGCCTAGTATGCATTGTCATGAAACTTGGTAGGTTGGTAGGTCTTCATGAGAGCTAGGAATAATTAGATTTTGGGCACCCTGTCGGCTTTCCTAGATACTGCAGCAGAACTTCCGGTTGTAACATCTCGTGATCTGGAGATGCTAAGGTCACGAATTTTGGATGGTAGATAGCTAGATAGCTCTTGGGCTAGGGAAGAAGTGACATGGGTTTGGGCCACCTAGCGGCTTGTTTTAAAACTGCAGGAGTGTTTCTTGAAAAATAGTTGAATTAGGATAACTCAAGAACCGGTTGACGGATTGTCTTGATTTTTGGTATGTAGGTAACTCAAGTGATGCTTGACATAACAAGACGACAACTAAGCAAACCAGGGGCTAATTTGCATAACTAAGGAGGGAATTCTATAAATCTGCTTCGTTCCATAACAGGACCATGAAGCGCTTGTGACATATGCATTTGAGAACGAGAACAGCCTATGGAGCTATAGATTATGTAAATGAAGATGTCATTTGCATAATTAATGAAGAATTTATATAGTTTCATAGTAGTAACTGCATTTGGAAGTTAATACAAGTGAAGATGAACAGCAATGAAGATAATTCATTCAAATCATGACCATATTTGCATAATTTATTACAAAGTGCTAGAATAGCCTTTTTTGTTAAGATCATGCTGTCATTGGGTGGATAATATGTATCAATGGATACAATCCATGTAATTGGTGCTCTTTTTTGCAAAATCAATGAATTACAATGTATAATTTGTCCACCGATCAACATCAATTGGGGAAGGTATGAGATCGTGGGATTGATATTAAAATGTAGTTAGGTGGTATCATATAATTGACTTCGTTTGGCTTAAGTACTTACCTATCAGCAAGCTACACAATTCCGAAATCAGAGTAGGGGTTGATATCATGAAATCATTAGTCGTAAGGGTTTTAAACTATTTTCATTTAATGGAAATAATTTTGTAGTTCTTACGTTTGCAAATTTTTGCATGATCTCTGGATGACACTTTTCTTCCTAGACTCAGCCGAGTACACGCCTCTTCCGTCAAACCCGACGCCGAGGTAGGTCGCACCGTCAATCAGGTTCTGTTTATTGCAAAGGTTTAACAACTTTTCCAAGAAACATTAAAATGGCCAGGGTGAAATATTGGAAATTTCGGTACACATGTTGGAAGAAATCAACATCACAAAACAAGCAAACCGTTTTTATTACCGTAGCAATTATTATGATAAACGCCCAATGTTCAGTGTAGTTTTGTGTCTTTTAGTCAAATAGATCTGAAATTTATTGCAGAAATAGACTGAATTTAACGAATGCTCTCTCACTAATAGGCAGACGTAGCACTTACCGGACAGCCTGTTCTTGGTATCTTGGCCTTATAGCAGGGGTCTCCATTCTTGTAGCCTGTCCCGAAGCAGCCGTTCATCAGAACTGGTCCTAGTCCGGCTGGGTAGGTGTAGGCTAATGCCTGTCCACCGGAACTGACCTTGTCTTCATCTCTTTTAATATAATAAAGCGTACTATTTTGTGATATGAACAAACTTTATCTTGTCCTTATCTAGTATTAATAAACTGGTACATGTGCTTAATTTCCGTTTATAATTTCCTGTGTGTGCAAATGTTAGCTTAAAAATTAAAGTAGACTTTCCATGCGGTATGGCATGCTTAAATGAATATAACATTTCCATGAGCTCTCATCACATTTTTTAAAAGTCCATTTTGACTCTAGCAAAATATGTTCAAACCACCCTTGGTGAAAGCTGAAGTTTACACGCTATCTATTTAGGTATGACACATTTGGTATCTATTAACTGTATCTGTTCATCTTGTTTTGTTGTGACCTGTAATAAAGGTCATTTATTCATTTATTAGTTCATCCATTCATTTGGTTGCCGCAACATAGTAATGAAGACAACGAAAAGGAGTAGGATTGTGAGAAACTATCGTAAACCAACCTGTCTTCCTTGTACTTGTACTTATGGCGGATATCCCAACCTGGTGGTGCGTACATGTTACCCATCGTGGCGCCTGGTCTAGGAACAAGCTGGATGTCCGCCTAATAACCGTAAAATGTTTAATAAAGAATATTCGTGAAGATATTCTCACAATCAGTGTGTTACCGCAATGTACACCAGGGTAAATGGTCCATTTTTTGTGAAGCTAAAATGATAAATCATTATACCAGATATAACTGGCTTATCATACCATCTTATATTCAAAGAACTGTTCTGTTGTTTTGCGTACGAATTTAACTCAAATTCGATTCTTTTTTTTTTCAGAGGAAGGGGTGGCCAAGCTAAATCTGGTCAGACTGCGCCCGAATTTTAGCCAACGTTATCCAGCTTGCGATTAGGAAGGTTCTGAATGTGTGGCAGGGGGTTAACCCACCTCTTCCACCGGCCTGTTCAAACCGGCTGCCAGCCTACTGGTGTCCTCCAGCAGTTCTTTGTACTCATCGTCGAACTTGTCCATCTGTTTCCCCAGGTAGTTCTGCAGACCGCTCACCACCTTCTCCTGGTGGTTCTCCACTACGCCTTCCGCGATCCTGTCGCCAAGCTTGCTCACGACTTTTCCACCTATTTCTTTTGCTGCCGCTGCCAGAAATGCAGGGACTACCTTTTTGGTCTCTTTGTAGCCGTCAGTAGAACTTCCAGCCTTGTTCTGCGATGCTATATCATTAATGAGGTTAATATCATGATCTTATTGCTGGAATCTGAGTAACATAATCTACTAGAACAAATTCTATAAAAAAGTAACCTGTTTATTCTTCTCCCAGGCCAACAGCTACATATAACTTAAAATAGTATTTCGAAAATTAAAGATTGACGATCCAAGATGGCGGATAGTTTTAATATGCATGACGTCATTTTTTGACGTCACTTTGTGTTGCTATGGGCAACATACGTTATTGTAGACCTTGACATTCTATCATAACACTTTGTAATTAAACTTGTATTGTATACCATTAAGTTAAACGAGGATAGCCTTTCTAGACGGTTTTAGGCAATAAAATAACATGAATGACGTCATAATTACGTCAGAACACGTCATAATGATATGGAAATTGATTTATTATTATTCGTACAGGGTCCTTTAAAAATTTGGTGACAATACGATATGACATTTACGAGTTCTGAGGGGGGGGGGCGAACGAGCCCCCAAAAGAGTCCAGTCTAGGTAAAGTTAATTGATAGAGACGCAATGTTTGATATTGGAAAGTGTGGTATCCTACAATGGTTTTATCAAATCAATAGGGGCTCTGGAAATATGTTTCTGTCACGTCGTACTTCTGATCTACAACTGCACCTCCTTCAAGAAATATAATAGTAGTCACCTTCTGAAGTCGGGCCTTGGTTTTTAAGTTCTGTCATGCCGTAATTCTCCCCTACATCTGGACCCTCTTTACCGCCGTATTCTGTAGTTGAGAGAAGATGTATTATTTGAATAAGTTACCACGTTACGTAATACGTGTACGAAAACGTATCATATCATGTCAAAATCTAATGCTCTCAGAAAATTGAAATAAAGCGTTGTTGAGGTAGGATAAAGGTAAATCAAATATCAGTGACAGCTATAGCCATTTTCCGTAATTAGATATGTCTAATGTGATGATTGAAAAAGTGTTTGGTGCTAATAATTATATTTTGTATCAGGCCACACTACAGCCACGCGCGCATTTATTTTGCCCCCTCCCCCCCAAACGCGTATTTCGTCACATTCGTCCGCTCGTTTCTCCTTTGTCCTGGCCGGTCTCCTGGGCTCCGACTGAGAATTCTCTTGTTTTACGCTGTTTTTTTTCAGCACGCAGGTGCCAGGTGAGGGTATCCAGCAGGTGTATTTGAGGTCACGTGGACTGTTCCTAACCTGGCTACGCCCCCCTTGACTCAATTAGAATAGTCATACCTTTTGAATCATAATCTGTCTCGTGGGAGTTTTGCTGTACATCCGCACCTCTTTCTCCCTCCACTTCTGTAAAACACGAAGCAAGTTACACAGTAGATATATGTGTCCTTGTAAGATAAACGCTTTTATAGACAATGAGTCCTGAACTATAATTGCACGTCGTTAGTAAAGACATAAAGGATCATAAGTGTTAATAAATGCGATGTAAAGGAGACGCGAGGACAATCGTTACCTTTTGGGGTTAGATCTTGATCTCCAAGTCCTGTCATGTCTACATCTAGAGTTTGTTCACCACCGTCTTCTGGAGTTAATAAGAATGCCATATGTACATTACTAACCAGTCCAATAAATAATTCTTTCACACAAATGCTGTCGTTTGCCGCCGTTTTTTTTACACAACAAAATCGTATGCAACAAATGTGCTCTTTTACGTTTGCTCGGCCTAAGCGGAGCAAATTAGGCCGAGCAAACGCAATATGGTGGGATGGATGAGTGGCCTGTTTAATGGTAGACCGGACCAAACAAAAAATAGTAGCCCCTAAAAAGGGGCGCACAAAACGATAGGTAAATGAGTGAACCCTTCGATCGTTCAATGGATCCTTCAATCGTTCAACGGACCATTCCATCGGCTCGCTGCTATTCCTACAGTCCTTTCGTAGTCTTACGTGCTTGAATCGCTAAAAACTGTGCTACAATAAGATTAAAAAAAAAGCTCACATTACAACACGCCTGACAAAGGTACACATTCACAATATGATTTCACGTTAAAATGTCGCTCACGCGAGTCATAAACTGGCAAAAAACACGCACTGTTCATCTGTCCATATATTATGTTAATGAGCCTGCAACTTGTACCGCCTATCCTTGCCAGGAAACATAACTAGTAAGTGTGTTGGTGCGTAATATTTATTCCTTAAGCTGCGGGTCTCGGATATATCCGGGATCACAGTACATGTCCTGTGTGCGGGTCTCGGAATTGGGGTATTTCTTGGGCGAAAACAGCCGCGTTGCCAAACACGGAACTGATTCCGCGCCGCTAGCGGCCGGAAGGGGTCAGGGGTCAAATCGCATTACGTAACCACTACTTACGTCATTCCCCGGTTAGATTTTCTCAAATGGCGGCTGTCGCCTGCCGAGAACTTTCTTTTTGGCGACGCCTTTGGGTTTGGGTCGGAGGCATTTGTGCAAGTACTACGATCGCTTTGAAAGAATTTCAAAAATTACACGAATTCATTCCCTAGGGAATTGGTTTTGAGGTAACCTTCGCCAATGTGGTTTTTGGACCAAGCAGGTAACTTACACCGAGTGCCCAAGTGCCAACCATCCAGCTGCCTGGCATGATTAATTACTGGTCATCTGTCTTCTCCCCACACCATGGATGAAGAGCACAGCTGTCTTTGGCCAAAGATCATTTGATCAGGAATCTGATATTCCCTCCCCAAGAACATTTAGGCCGGTGGGGTGGGTTCATTCAAACAAATCACACAGATAAAAGAAATTATCTGTTCTTTGGGGACAAAAAAGTCCTAGGAGTAACAACTTCAGATCAGACGTAAAATCCAGTCTCTGGTGGAGGATAGAGTAAAGTGGAGGATGGTTTTAAGTTTGGTTCGATCGCGAAGTCGACCAAAGTAAAGTATGTAAGTTTGTCATCATGAAATCTATATTACTGGGGAAGAACGGCTGATTCCTCTTATACGTGTATTTGGTATATTGCCCCACACCTCCTCCATCCATCCTGTTAATTTCACTACGTGCATGTCTTTATAAGATATGGATACGGAAATCTGTTTTTCTTATAATTGTGATGTAGATTGCTAGCTCCACCACATGAAATGATATATATCATTCAGTCGTCGCCTAGGCAATGATTTTTATTGCCTCAGCCTTGTTGTTTTTAGTGTCTTTTCGGCCATAAATTTCTGGGTTTTGTCACGAAATGTCTTGATTTACGCTGAAATACGTGCTTGGGGACCTTGATAGTATAAATTTTAGGGGAATTTATCTCTCCCTCGGCGAGGATTCTCCAGAAAGTAGCGACGATGTGAGAAGCACACGGAACAAAATTATGGCCCCGATGGGAAGTTGTACCTAGTAGGTAGGAGTTGGAGAACTTGGCATTGGCCGCGGACAGTGACAGTGGGTAGACGTTGGGGCGAGGAGTGTTATGTACCTATGATTTTTAGAGCTCAAGAAAGAAGAATACCGTCCTTGTAATGTATTAGCCTATCATGATCAGCTGAATAGTCAGTTCAGCACCCAGGACAGTCTGTAGTCATAAAATTCACCGGCAGTAATATCTTGAGTCGTTTTTATTCAATGAAAGTAATATTTATGTTGTTGTATTAGAATTCACCAGGAGCTCTATATTCCAAGTTAAAGTGGATTGAAACTTCGTAGGTGGGTAGGTTTTCATGAGACCTTGAAATGATTAGATTTCGGGCCCCCTGGCGGCTACCCTAGGTACTGCAGCATAACTTCTGGACATGCGAGGGTCACGAATTTTAGATGGCAAAAAGTTCATGGGCTAGTGAAGAAGTGTCATGCGTTTGGGTCCCCTAGCGTCTTGTTCTGGAACTGCAGGGGCATTTGTTAAAAAAAAAATTCGAAGGAGGATAACTCAAGAACCGGTTGACGGATTGTTGTGATGTTTGGTATGTAGGTAGTTTAAGTGATGCTTGATATAATCAGATGACAATTATGCAAATCAGTAGCTAATTTCCACAATAGATGAGGAAATTCTATGAATCTGATGAACACTTGTGACATCTACTTGAGAACGAGAAAAACATCTGGAGGATATAGATTATGAGGACCTAATTTGCATAATTAGTGGCAATTTTTTATCATTTCATAGTTGTAACTGTTGGGAATTTTATACTTGCCACATTTGGAAGTTAAGTGAAGGTGAACAGCAATGAACATAATTTATTCAAATCGACCAAATTTGCATTTGGTGGAGAATATGATCAACTGATATAATCCATGCAAATGAGGCTCTTATTTACAAAATCAATGATTGAAATTGTATAATTCGCCAACCGGAAGGGTTAACAACATTTGGCGAAGGTATGAGATCGTGGAACTCATATCGTTGAACGTCTTGTTTTTTTTTGTCGATGCAGCGTAATGTTGCTATTACGCTAGGTGCTAGGCTATGGTGCTAGGCTGGTGAAAACTATGCAATTTACCCTGGTCTCTCTGATTGCAAATACGCTACAGCTGTAGTTCTCCATATTTCCAGGCACACAGTCAGATTTCACAGGGAAAAATCTTTGCTGTCAATTAAAATCTGTAACAGATTTAGGCCTCTATTCTGTATGTTGTGAAAACAGTAGTTCATATTTAAGAACAGCATATTTTCTGCAAACAACATATTTAACACAACATATAGCTTTGTCAAGGATATTGACATTTCAATGACAAGACTGCGTAAAGTGTGTATTTTACAGTAAATTCAAAATAACGGAGAATCTTGTAATTGCTTTGAATTATCAACATTTAGCGTATGTTTTCAGCAATACTTAAGTTGTCAAAAATGAGTCTTTAGGCTCGTTGCAGTTGAGTCAAATTTACCTTAATTATTAAGCTCCCTACCATAGCTGCTTACCTTGACGTTTTTTTTTTGTTAACCTTAACATAAGGTAACTACTAACCAAATTTATTTAAATCAACCAATTCTAAAAAGCACGGCGCATACAAACACATATAGAGGTCACGGGGGAGATTGGAATCCAGAATCCTCCAAGGGTAGATTGGAATTCCTACCTCCCCTTGGGTAGAATGTAATTCCTATCTCCCCTAGGAGAATGATTGGAATCCTCCTAGGGGAATCTGGAATAACCCAGGAGACATTGGAGTCCTGATATTCAGATCCCAATTCAGTAGTAGAAATACTAGAATTCATAGATTGAATCAATGCACACCTAAACTTTCAATCAATTTCAGTATAGGTAAGTCTAACGTTATTACTATTGTAGGTGAATTACTAGATTGGAATCAAGATTTGTCCTGGCATAATTGGCAGTTCCATAATTGCAATCTCCCTTAGGGGAGATAGGAATTCCAATCTCCCCTAGGAGGATTCCGGATTCCCCATGATTCCAATCTCCCATGTAACATATACAAACAACCCATTAAGCAGATCAATACTTCTACTCACCGATGGGATTCGATTTTTTGGACACAAGGCCCAACTTCTTTATTAGTTCGTCAAGTTTTGTCTCTTTATTGTCGACAGTTGTCCCTTTGGTGCGAGTCATTGAGGCCTCATCAATAGTTTCCTGACCTACATAAAAGATTTTAATAGAAGATGTTCTAGCCGCAGTTGTCGTGTATTTCCTACAACAAGTAGTATATCAGGAAGTTTGTAACAGCTTACTCATACATGGTACATGATATTGTGTTCATTAAAATGTGTGAAACCGATACTTTATTCACGGAACAGAGAGGTACAAAGAGAACAATGCACAAAGCGTTAACTAACCTGCCAACAATCGGAGCTGATGCAGGAGCCTCTCTATGTTGGCAGAATCCCCCGCTGTAACAAAATAATGGAATTATATTAAGACGTCGTCGAGCAAGGCTCCATCCCGTCCAGGCAACTTATCCTGCAGAAAAACCTGGGTTAACAGAACCAGTCACAAACATAAAACCCAAGTTAAAACTAGGCTTAACTTTAACCCTACCTAGACCGGGCTTTTTTTGACATGGGGGGACGGGGGGGGGGCGTCTTTTGACCCTCCCCCCAAGAACTCGCGAACGATATGTCGTATGACCACCAAATTTTTAGAGAATGGTGTACTAGTGAAAATTTATCATATCTACAATTTTTATGTCGTTATGACGTAATATGACGTCATTATGACGTCATTAATGTGATTTTAATGGCCAAAACCGTCTAAATAGGTTTTTCCCTGAAAACTAAATGGTATTCAACATAACTGTACCAAAAGTGTTTAAGACAGAATATTATGGTGTACTAAGTCTTATGTTGCCCTTAGCAACACCGGTGACGTCATAAAATGACGTCATGCATATTTAAGATATCTGCCATCTTGGATCATCAATCTTGAATTTTCAAAAGTAGTTTTTTTTTTCATTATAAAGCCTAAAATACATTGTAAACATACTAAAGACCTTCATTTAAACCTTTTGTTTGGAAAAAGAAATGGAAGTATTGATGAAATTTTAATGAAAATAACCTGTTCTAATGATATGGTCCGCCATCTTGGATTTTGGCCAATGACGTCATCAAATTAGCATAAATTATACATATTTAATCATCAAATTTACATAAAATTATATGGGATATTATTAATATTAGAAACCATGAGTAACTTGATATAAAACCCTTAAAATTCTATTGTTGAAACAAAAAGTACTAAATTTAGCAAAAAATGCCTGTCAGAAACCCGTTGCCATGGCAACACAAAAAATATTATCTTATTCCAATGATAAAGAATTGTTGCCAACAATATTCTAGGAAAAGTCACCAAGTTTGGTCGTTCTACGGCTAGCCGTTCAGATGCTAGGTGACATCAAAGTTGCCGCGGGCACTTTTAGCTCCCCCCCGGTCTAGGCAGGGTTAAGTCACAAGCTAAGGTGACAGAAAAACAGTTCAGTCTAATTTTGCATAGTTAAGGCCTCTCCCAGGTAGGTCTTTTGTTTGTTTATTTCTGTACCGTTATTTATATATATTATTTTTCTCATGAGATCCTGATTTGAATAAATATTGTTTAGTGATGATCAATTTCACTGACCTTCCAATTAAGGTTCCAGGTCGGAGTTTAATTCTGACCAGGGTTCAAAAGAGTGCGCAGCAAATTCCTGAATTTCTTCATGCAGCAATGTTTAAAAAAATGACGAAAAAAGTACCTCTTTCCTCTAAAAATTTACTTTTAAAGGGCCCGATAATTCCCAGGTAGTTTGGCTGCAGGATATATCAACCAAGTCCATTAGGTAGCAGAATGACACCGTTTCAACTAGCACAAAATATTCCGACCCACGTTCTTGACGGAAGTGACCGCCCGCTTGGCAGAGAGAGTCAGATTTTCTACGAGCACGAAAAAAAAACGGTCCGAGACCTTATAGCAAGTATTAATTCCTAGCAGTTACTACTCTAAATTTTTAGCATTTTCACATGAATTATTCAAATTAGGTCTTCATTTACATGATCAATACCTGCAAATGTTCCTGTCATTCTTAATTACATATTTCACAGTTAAGATTCCGGGTCGGAATTTAAATCTGACCGGATATCCAAATAGTGCGCAGCAAATCGCCGGATCTGTGAGATTGTCACTCTAGGTTTGCCTCCCCATAGCTCGGCGATAGTTGGAGATTTTCAAGTAGGTTTTGAATTGATCAAGAAACCTTGGCATTGTAGTGATTTTGGCATGGTGAAGTTGGACGGCCAGCGAAGCAGAACTGTAAGAGCAACTCTTACCAAGTAGAACTGTCCCCGTTTCTTAGTCCAGTGATGTACCACGACGCCACACGACTAATTATGCAAATAAGCTCCTGATTTGCATAATTGTAATCTGATTTTATCAAGCATCACTTCAGATACATACATGCAAAAAACTACGACAGTCCGTCGAATTTAAGTTATCATCCCTTAAAGATTTTCAAAGAAACTGTCCTGCAGTTCCATAACAAGCTGCTAAGGGACCTAAGCTCACGTGACTTTTTCCCGAGTGCAAGAGCTACCCATGATCCAAAATTAATGACCCTAGTATGTCCAGGTCATAAGATATTTTAATATTATATTTTAATATAATTTATTTAGATACAATATATTTAAATATAATATTAAAAAAACTAGTTTGTTTGTTTGTTTATTATTTGCACAGCAGCAATAAAAATGATACATAATAAATCAATAATGAATAAAACAGGAGCAGGAGGAGGGAAAAAAGCTTATTTAGCTTATGCTAAGCTCTCTTACTCTATACTAACCAAAAGTAAACATAATTGAATTGAAATAAGGCATACATACAAAAGGAATTGTTATCAAAATAATTAAAAAATTGGCAAAATGATACAATAACAATAATGAAACAGTAGTATACATAAATTGAAATGAAATTGATAATATAATAAATAATATATACATACATAAGGAATTGTTATTATAATAATTCAAACATAGGCAAAATAAACAATAACAATAATGACGTTCTTACAAGGGGAATATGGAAATGAGTACTTTGTCGAGTTTGGTAAGTATAAAAATGGGAATTAATATTTAAAAGACCATTAAATGTGTCTGGAAGAGAACAGTTTAGGAATTTAAACGTAAATAGCACCAGGTGAAGTCTGTTTATATAAAAAATATTCAAAATCTTAAGTTTTGTAAAACAAAGGTGCAGAATGTGCGTGGAAACTGGCGCCGGTGGCTGAACGAACAAATCTTTTTTGAAGTAAAACTAGGGGCTGTAGTGTGGTTTTGTAGGCGCATCACCAGACTATATTCCCGTAGGTTAGATATGGGTATATTAAGCTATTGTATATGGTAATAATGGTTTTTTGAGTAAGAAGATGTTTAAGTTTTCCAATAATACCGATAGTTTTTGAAATTTTTTTTACCTAACATAGTTATATGTGATTTCCAGGTCAATCGTTCATCAATGATTATACCTAAGAATTTGGCTTGACTCTCTTGAGAAAGGGGCACACTTTTTAAAAAAGATTTTGGCGCTTCTGTTGTAGGTTTTATTTCTATTACAGAAAAAAAGGTAGTATGTCTTCTTAACATTGACTGATAATTTATTTGCCTCAAACCACGATATAACCTTTTTCAATTCTTCGTTAGCCAGGTTTACTAGCGTATCAAAATTCGAGTTTGAAAGAAAAAGATTAAAATCATCTGCAAATAGGATAAAGAATAGAATTGAGGATGCTTTTTCGAGGTCATTTATATAAATAAAAAAAAAGTAGGGGTCCTAGTATCGAACCCTGTGGGACACCACATTCTATTATTTTAAGTTGTGATTTATTATCATTAACGTATTGCTGTCTATCGGATAGATAAGAAGAGAACCATTTTATTGCGGAGTCACATATACCATATCGTTTTAGTTTATTGAGTAGAATTGAATGATTGACTGTATCAAAGGCTTTAGATAGATCAAAAAAGAATCCTATAGTGTATTCTTTGTTATCTATAGCGGTAGATATTTTTTTCATTAAGTGTATGAGTGCTAGAGAAGTAGAATAGCCCTTTCTGAAGCCATATTGGTGTTTATAGAGGATGTTATTTTGATTTAAATGTTTCAGAAGACGATTGTATACTAATTTTTCCAAGACCTTAGATACGCAGGGAAGGACAGATATTGGTCGACAGTTATTAACATTAAGTGGATCGCTGCTTTTAAAAATAGGCGTCACTTTTGCGACTTTTAGTGGGTGAGGAAAAACTCCATTTTGCAAGGATAGAGACAAAGTTGCGCAGCAGTACCAGAGGAAGCCACTAGGAAGCCCAAAATCTAATCATTACCAGTTTTCGTAATACCCTACTAACGCACCAAGCTTGAAACCAATCCATTCAAACGTTCTTGAGTTATTTGTCTACCAACAGACGGACAAACGCAACTGAAAATATACCCTCAATGACAGGTCAACGTTAAAACCCCACCTTATCATCGGTGTATATAGTGAGATAATCCCTGACAAGGCGCTCACTCGGTGGTATATTTGGTGACTATCGCACCTGACCATGGATTATCTCACCATATACATCATTTATTACATGTACATTTACAATGTATAATCCTATTAACAGATAAATGGACACGTGTCAATCATTTGGATCAAAATTAATGAATTTAAAAAAAAGAAACTGATGCCCTTAGGAAACACCGAAAATTATACAGATGACTGACTGGTATAAAATTGTTGCTTTATTTAACGACTAATGATTCTAGTGGAAGACCTTTAGAGATCATTTGATAAAAAAAATAATGGTTCTGAATAGGGTTCAGTGGCAACACTGTGATTGTCAATAAAGTTTTATCTTGAACCTTGTAAGTGGTAATAAACATTTTTAAAGTTAGAATTTTATGTGTCTGACTCTTACTTAATACTATTAAAATATCAATATTAATTTGAAAAGAGATGATTTATAACATACCCACAGCCATGGCAAGGATGATGGCCAGGGCCAGTGTTGGAGTCCTCATTGCTGTTTGCTGTACCTATAAAAACACATATTTTAAGTTCAAATGACACCATTTTGGCAAAGAAACAGATATATAACGTACAAGGGCATCCACGTTGTAGGTCAGTGTCAGAACATTAATGGAAGAGTTACGTATTAACTAGAAAGGCCGACATTTGCCTGGGAGCAAATACAGCATATTTCAGTCCATCTCCCTCCCACCCAAAAGTGGACTATTAAAAACTTACCCCAGTAATGATCTTAGGCACATAAAATTGAATGCGTGGGTCATTGCGCACGACTAACGTGCAACGTGACCCCAGGTAACCCGCAATGTTCGATGTGTTCGAGCAGTGTTCGATGGCCAACGACAGATGGAACGGGCCATTCTTTAGATCGAACGTGGAACGGGTATAGCACTTTTGGCCCTTTTTTGGCTGAAAATAGCCATTAAAAACCCCTAAATGAGTCATCTGGAAGTGGTGTATGCCAAATATGTTATTCCTTCAAGTGGAATGATATTTTTCTATGTTCATCTGTAGACTCAGCCGCCGAAAAACTATGCGAGCTCATTCTCGAAGCCAAGCAACAGTGCGTCCCCAGCAAAAAATATTAATCAGACCGAAAGATAAACCCTGGATTTCCACAGAAATTCGTAAACTTATGCGCTCTCGCGACAAACTACACAAACAAGCCCGGCGTCTCAACACACATGCAAATTGGGTTGCATACCGTAAGGTACGCAACAGACTCAACAACCTCATTTCCACTAACAAATCCAATTATTACCAACGTCTCATAGAGTCGCTTAGTGACCCATCCATTTCCAGTAAAAAATGGTGGCATGTTGTCAAATATTTTTACAGACCGAAGGTTTCTACCTCCATTCCACCTCTTCAGGAGGGCAGTTCTTATATCTTTGACTCGCTTGAGAAGGCTAGAATCTTAAACCAATATTTTGTTTCCCAGTCGACTATTGACGATTCACACGCCTCTCTCCCGGCCTTTGACTACCTTACATCCAGTCGGCTTTGCCACATCACTACCTCCCCTGATGAAGTTTTACTGTTTATCAACAGCCTGGATACTGGCAAGGCCCATGGTTACGACAATATCGACAACCATTTTCTTAAAATTATTGCCCCTCTAATTGCAGATCATATATCCTTTGTCTTTAATTTGTCACTTTGTCACGGCCTCTTCCCCGAAACTTGGAAATATGCACATGTTATACCGATTTTTAAAAAAGGCGACCCACAAGACAAATGTAATTACCGACCTATATCTCTACTGCCCACCCTGTCAAAGGTACTTGAAAAAATAGTTTACAAACACCTCTATAATTATTTGATAAGTAACAATCTTTTATACCGTCTCCAGTCAGGCTTTGTCAAAGGTGATTCCACAGTCTGCCAGTTGGCCTATTTTACACATACTATATTACAAGCTTTAGAGGCAGGTAAAGATGTGCGAGCAGTATTTCTCGACTTCTCACGTGCCTTTGACAGGGTGTGGCACGCTGGACTCATCGTTAAGTTGCAACGTATCGGTTTAGAAGGACCACTCATTAATTGGATTGACAGTTACCTTAGTTACAGATCACAGCGTGTAGTCATTGATGGCCAGTCTTCTCCCTGGGCCACCACCAACGCTGGAGTTCCACAGGGTTCAATACTTGGTCCATTATTTTTCCTTATTTATATAAATGACATTGTAAATGATCTTGTTTCCCTCCCTTTCCCCTTCGCCGATGACAGCTCCCTTCTCCAGACTGCTGAAAACCCCCTCGATTCCGCTGTTTGTTTGAACTCTGACCTGTCCAAAATACATACATGGGCCACTCAGTGGCTCATGGAACTAAATCCGACAAAATCGGAAGAAATGTGCTTTTCAGCCAAGCGCGGACCCCTAGTTCACCCACCACTCCTTCTTAACAACTGTGTTATAAAGTCTGTCAACACCCATAAGCATATTGGGGTCATCTTGTGCTCAAATATGTCATGGAATTCCCATATTAATTACATTATATCCAAGATATCCAAAAGCATTGACCTCTTTAGTGGCCTTAAATTTAAACTACCTCGCAATACCCTCGAACCTCTTTACAAATCATATATACGCCCCTGTCTGGAGTATGGCGATGTCATCTGGCACGGGACGACAAGTGAGGAAGCACAACTCATTGAACGAATACAATATCACTGTGCCCTCGTCGTGTCAGGTGCCACTAAGGGTTCGTCTTACCTGTCAACTAGGCACGAACTCGGGTGGGAAACATTATCAGATAGACGACATGTTCATCGACTTTGTTTGTTTCACAGAATCGTTCATGGTTTAACTCGCAACTACTTGTCTGAAATATTACCCGCGGCCATTTTTTCATCATGTACATATGACCTACGCAACAAGATGAACTTAAGATCTCCTAGTTACTCAACAAATCGTTTTGCTAAGTCTTTTGTTCCGTACTCGACACACCATTGGAATAATCTTGATTTGTCAACTCGTTCTTTAAACTACTGTCATTTTCGAACCGCTCTCCTCAAAACCATTCGGCCTGTTAAGTTCAAATACTTTAGCCATGGTCCTCGTCTTGCCTGTGTACACCTCACACGCCTTCGCATTGGCACTTGCAGCCTAAACCACAGTCTCTTCACACGAGGATCACTCGACAGTCCAGCTTGTAGCTGCTGGTGCCAATGCGAAACAGTGTCACATTACTTACTCCACTGCCCTATGTACAACGCCCAACGCATAATTCTCCTTGGCAAACTTTCCAGGCTCTTAGGACACTCCCTCAACTTTACAGTTTTGTCTGACAACGCCAAAATGTTCCTCCTTCTCCGTGGTAGTCCCACATGTTCACTCATAGCAAATTCCAACATTTTGATGTTAACCCAACAATTCATCACCACAACAAAACGCTTCCAATAATCATTCTCTGTCATCTTTTTCTGTGTCCTACAGTTTTATCTGCTTCATCATTGGGTGGGGAATCGGACTGCGCTCATAAACATTTCAACATCTTTGTACTTTATTATACCACTTCACATTTTGTTATCCCTCATTTCCTTGTATCTCATTTATCAAGTGGTAGCGTCAAAATAAGTATTGTAACTTGAGTGCGCTATCACTTTGTCCTGTACTTTGTCTTACTTGTGCAATTAATAAAAAAAAATATGTTATTCTGCATTCTGCTATTATGTAGACACACGTTCAAGGTACCCTTGTACAGAATTTTAGATCATTTGGTTGTAATACCAGGGCTCAGGATCAAAAAAATTATTTTTTTTTTGCAAAAAAAAAAAACCGTCATAGAAATTTTTCAAAGGCATGAATAAAAAAAAACGAAAAAAACCCTGCGGGGTATCGGCCAACTCTACCTCCATGCCAAATCCATTTGACTGTGTGGCAGGAGGAGAAGACGGATCGGAGAAGAAGAAACATAAAAGAACACAATATATTTCATCCATACCAAATGGTATTGATGGTATTAACTGAAATATAATAAGCGAAATACGTAAAAATTAGAAGGAAAAATTGCTGTTAAAGTTTTACATCTCAAGTCAAAGAAAAATACTATAAAATCACACAATCAATTCAGCTAAGATAAACTACCAGACCTCAGTCTTGCTCTGACTACCGTGGTGGTAACATGGGTGGATGGCTGTTAAGGCAGTCACTTTTCAAGATACTTTGAAAGGTAAGTAATAGATAAGGAATGGAAGTATGGTTGCACATAAAGGAGTCAACTTCACCTACCCCAGAATATAACGTAATGACAACACTGACTTGCCAATCGCTGCCTAGTAGTGTCAGACATTGTTTGGCAGTTACTACTGAGCTCAAATACAATATACTATTTCCTTTTGATGCAACCAAACAGACTGTAGCCATGTCTAGACACACTTACTATCAAATCTAACTCAGCTAAGAGGAAGCCATTTACAAGTTACAAATATAGATATCTACAATAAGGCATTTTGATAAAACTTTTGAGAGGGCTGATTAAAGTGTTGACATTTGAGGCTCTGGCAAGAATCTGGCAAATATAAGATCTATATGAGCCAAAAACAGAGCAGGTGCCAGAGCATGGTCTGAGATGACTCGATAATGGTCAAAAATTTGATTTCCGCAAATCAGAGCCCTTATTTGCATAAATTATATCAGTTGATCATATTCCACACCCAATGTCAGCCTTTTCTTAAAAAAGGCTATTATAGCAGTTCCTCATAAATTATGCAAATGAGGTCATGATTTGAATAAATCACGTTTATTGATGTTTACCATAACCTAACTTTCAAATGTGTCAAGTATAAAATTCACAGCAGTTACTTAATTATGCAAATTAGGTCTTCATTTACATAATCTATATCTCCAGATGTTTTTTTTTCGTTCTCAATTACATGTCACAAGTGTTTTAAAGTCGTATTATCGAGCGAAGCAGATTAATAGAACTTCCTCATAAAGGCTGTATGTAAGAAGTGTAATCATAAGTACGATAAGAAACCGCCAGGAATTGCGGTCTCCGGCGTTTAGAGAAAAGCTGGGGCTGATGGGTGACTTTTTTCCGCGTTTACTGCCTCGACAGCGAGATGCCGCATTAAAGCGGGGGGGGGGGCACCCATTTCCGACAGTACTATACCAATTAATAGATGTATGTACAACTGAGACAGGCCGATGCACGGACATGAACTCAGAAGAGGAAAAATGCGGGGTTGTCTGGTAACTTTTCCCCGATTGCGATTGCTCGGCCTAACGGGCTCGGCACCGGGTGGCGATAAAATACCGACTGGGAGTAACGTTTGATAAAAACTACAGAGTTACGCTAACAATATTACATTGTGATTGATAGATTTTTTTAATCTTTCAATTACAATCTAATGTTGCTAATGTTCTTAAAAGATTAAGGAAAATGCAAAAGTGAACCCTATCATACCACCGACACTTCTTTGGCAAGATTACTTAAATAAGCACTGAATATCATCGATCCTAAACTTTTTAAGACTCAGGAATACTTAC